CCACTAGTCAAATGTGGCTCAGCACTTGAAATGTTGCTAGTATAAACTTAGATGTACTAAAGATGTAAAACATACATTAGATTTTGAAGACTTAGTATTAAAAATGTAAAATATCTCATTAATAAAGTTTTATATCACTTAGATGTAACAATATTTTAGATATACTGGTTAAATGAAATATATTAAAATTAAGTTGACTATTTCAAGTATCTACTGAAAGTTTTTATTTCTTCAATTTTTTTGAGACCAAGTCTTGCTCTGTCCTCCAGGCTAGAATGCAGTGGCATGACCTTGGCTCACCTCTGCCTCCCAAGTTCAAACGATTCTCGTTCTTAGACCTCCCAAGTAGCTGGGATTACAGTTGTGCACCAGCAAACCTAGCTAATTTTTGTATTACTTTTTAGTAGAGATGAAGTTTCGTCATGTTGGCCAGGCTGGTCTCGAACTCCTGGCCTCAAGTTATCTGCCTCAAGCTATTCAGCCTCCCCAAGTGCTGGGATTACAGGCATGAGCCACCCTGCCTGACCAAAGATTTTTAAAATTACATATGTGGCTCACATGTTATTTCTATTGAACAGTGCTGGTCTTGGAAGTAAACTTGGGAGAAAGTATTACTGATTTTGCAAAGATTTCCTAAAATACAGCAGCAAAAGTACAAACTACAAAGAAGAAAAGATGATAAACTAGACTTATCAAAATTAAAACTGTTTTCTCTTCAAAAGATACCATTAAGAAAATGAAGGCTAGGCATGGAGGGGCATACCTATAATCCCAGCACTTGGGAGGCCAAGGTGGGCACATGGCTTGAGCTCAGAAGTTCAAGACCAGGCTGCGCAATATAGCAAGACCCTGACTGTATTTTTTTTTTTAAGGCTGTAAATACTATTTACTGTTGAGAATGCAGAGCAACTGAATTTTCATGCATGGCTGGTAGGAATACAAAACAGTATAGCCATTTTAAGACAGTTTGGCTGTTTGTTATGAAGTTAACATATAATTTAGCAATTGCACTCTTAAGTATTTACTAAAAAGGCCAGCCTGGCCAACATGGTGAAATCCCATTTCTACTAAAAACAAAAACAAACAAACAAAATTAGCCAGGCATAGTTGCACATGTCTTTGGTTCCAGCTACTCAGGAGGCTGAGGCACAAGACTTGCTTGAACTCGGGAGGCAGAGGTTACAGTGAGCTGAGATCATGCCACTGCACTCCATCCTGGGTGACAGAGCGAGACTCTGTCTCAAAAAAAAAAAACAGTATTTACTGAAGAGTAGTAAAAACATATGTCTACACAAAGGATGGGCATGGTGGCTCAGGCCTGTAATCCTAGCACTTTGGGAGGCTGAGCTGGGCGGATCATTTGAGGTCAGATATTCAAAACCAGCCTGGCAAACACGGTGAAACCCTGTCTCTACTAAAAATACAATTAGCCAGGCAGGCCGGGCGCGGTGGCTCAAGCCTGTAATCCCAGCACTTTGGGAGGCCGAGACGGGTGGATCACGAGGTCAGGAGATCGAGACCAATAAACCCTAGGCACCACGGTAAAAACAAAAACCGTCTCATACTAAAAATAACAAAAAAAACTAGACACGGACAAAGACATGTGACGAGAAACGCCATGTATACCTAAGGCCTACTCGGGAAGGCTGAGGCAGGAGGAAATGGGCGGTGAACCTTGGGAAGCGGAGCTTTGCAGTAAGCTGCTGATGCGCCACGCACTCCGCAGCCTGGGGACGGAGTGAGCTCCAGTCTCAAAAAAAAAAAAAAACGGCCGGGCGCGCGGTGGCTCAAGCCGTGTAATCCAGCATTTGGGAGGCGACGAATGGGCGGAATCCGAGAGTCAGGAGATCAAGACCATCCTGGACACCAGGTGACACCCGGTCTAATACTAAAAAAAAAATTGCAACGGGTGAGGTGGCGGGCGACCTGTAGTCTCAGCCTTACTCGGAGAGGACTGAGGCAGGAGAATGGCCCTGAACCCCGGGAGGCGGAGCTTGCAAGTGAGCTGAGATCACGGCCACAGCACTCCAGCCTGGGCCCAGAGCGATGACTCTCATCTCAAAAAAAAAAAAAAAAAAAAAAAAAAAAAAATTTAGCCAGGCATGGTGGCGTAAGCCTTATTAGTCCCAACTATTCAGCAGGATGAGGCAACGAGAATCACTTCAACCCGGGAGGCAGAGGTTGCAGTGAGCTGAGATTATGTCACTGTACTCCAGCCTGGGTGACAGAGCAAGATTGTGTCTCATTAAAAAGAAAAATAATGGGAGGCTGAGGCAGGAGAATTGCTTGAACGTGGGAGGTGGAGGTTATGGTGAGCTGAGATCGCACCATTGCACTCCAGCCTGGGCAACAAGAGCAAAATTCTGTTTCAAAAAGAAAACAGAAAAATGAAAAAAAAAATTACATTTGTACAATGAAATATTATTCAGCAAAAGGAATGATCTACTGATACATACAAGATGGATAAATCTCAAAAATATTATGCTAAGAGAAAGAAACCAGATACAAAAACTATACGTTGCATGATTTCATTTATATTAAATTGTAGAACGGAATTTCTACAGTGATAGAAAACATCAATGGTTTCCAGGAATGTGAGTGTGGGGGAGGGTAGTGACTGCAAATGCAAATACAAAACAAGGAACTGTATGGGTGATGGAAATACCACACTGGGGATGGTTACAAAACTCTTCCAATTTGTACACTTAAACTTAGTAATTTTATTGTATGTAAAACACACTGTAACAAAGCTGACCAAAAAAAATGAAACAACATAAAATGTAGTTTCTGATTCAGCAGGTCTAGTGGGGGGCCCAAGAACTTGCATTCCTTTTTTTTTTTTTTTTTGGGACGGAGTCTTGCTCTGTCACCCAGGCTGGAGTGCAGTGGCCGGATCTCAGCTCACTGCAAGCTCCTCCTCTCGGGTTCACGCCATTCTCCTGCCTCAGCCTCCCGAGTAGCTGGGACTACAGGCCCCCGCCACTTCGCCCGGCTAGTTTTTTTTTTTGTATTTTTTAGTAGAGACGGGGTTTCACCGTGTTAGCCAGGATGGTCTCGATCTTCTGACCTCGTGATCCGCCCGTCTCGGCCTCCCAAAGTGCTGGGATTACAGGCTTGAGCCACCGCGCCCGGCCAAGAACTTGCATTCCTAACAATTCTAACATTCTCAGATGATGCTGATTGCTGCTGGTCCTGGGATCTCACTTTGAGAAGCCTTGGTCCAGTGAGAGACATTGACAAAAGGGGCCTATAATAAGCCCCTTTTAATATCATCTTAATTAATGTCCATTCTGTACCACTACCTGTCTACCTTGAAGATAGATAGTACTCTATCTTCAAGAACACAGACAATCAAGAAAACACTATGACTTTTCACATCTCCTGACATACTTCGTGAAAACCCAGTATGAGACAGGCCTAGAACCTTCAGGATGAATTGGAGGTCCTTTGAATGTTACTTAAAGCACCTTAAATTCAGAAGCAAATGTGGCCAGTTAATATCTCCCATTTCTGAAACTCAGTCCTACATTCTTACCATACCAGGATACCTGCTCTGAAACACAGCTCACACCACTGGCCTTTGCTAATATTGTTTTTTTGCTCTGAAGGACCTTTCCCTGATTTCAAACATTGTAATTGCACTTGTTTTTTCAGCCCATCTCAAATGGCATTTCCTTGATGAAACCGTATGTATTACTTCCATTTCTATGTTCTCATTGTCGTTCATACACTCCTTCATTATAGTGCTTATCATATCTGGTCCTACCTATCTTAATAAATGTTTATAGAATATATCAATTTCTAATTAAAAGAATTATTAATAGTAAGGGCTCCTAGAAAACAAATACATTCAGAGATGTGACTCAGAGTAGACATCATATTTTTGTTAGTCCTTTATCTCTTCCAGGGGAGCTTTCTTTTCCCCTTTTACGGTAAGTCTGATTAGTCCTTGTGGTTCTAGGGGGGCCAACTCCACCCACAGGACCCACGCCTGACCAATCTGAGCCTTTCCTCCTCGTGGTCTCAGTACTGGGTTCAAGGATAAGCATATCACCCAACCTAGGCCAACCACGTATCTTCTCAGTGCTCTTGAGCCAGAACCATAGGCAGAGAAGCTGATACCTGGAAAAGTCCAATACTATTTATGTTTTATTAAAAATACAAACACAGTGGATAAAGAAAATTATTAGACAGTACTCATTACAATGATCTAGCCCACTGTTTAGTAATCCTTACTGTATCCCAAAATAACATGAGAAAAATGCACAAAGGAAATACCAGACATCTTACAAATTTGGTTAATCACTGAAGACTGTGGACTCTGATTTGTGTTAGATTAGCCAAAAGGATGCCTTTGTGTCAAATATAGAAAGTTAGAGGGCAGAACTCTTTAACCTTCCCCAGGTTCTAATAGCAATGGATGAAACTTACTCAAGGTCAAAAGAAAATGACATCCAAAGAACAAACACTAGAAGCCAAGGAAAGGTGAGCGGAAGCAAGTGATCTGCATGTGTCAGTAAGACGGACATCAATAAGCTTCAGGGGACTATATAATTGTCCTCTGAAGTGTGATCTATTACCTGGTAATAAGAGCTCCCAACAGTGGGAGAACATAGAAGTTTTGTTTTTTTTTTTTTAATTTGAAATGGAGTCTCACTCTGTTGCCCAGGCTGGAGGCAGTGGCGCAATCTCGACTCACTGCAACCTCCGCCTCCTGGGTTCAAGCAATTCTCCTGCCTCAGCCTCCCGAGTGGCTGGGATTACAGGCGTGGGCCACCACACCCAGCTAATTTTAGTATTTTTAGTAGAGACGGAGTTTCACCATGTTGGCCAGGCTGGTCTCGAACTCCTGGTCTCAAGCGATCCACCTCCCTCAGCCTCCCGAAGTGTTGGGATTACAGGCGTGAGCCACTATGTCTGGCAAGATTTTTGAGATAAATGATGTACTAGTTATTCAGGGGTGACTTCCAGGAAAGGAGCTGGGTAAAGCCCTCACTCACCTGAGTGATTATGCGTTCTCCATCCTTATAGATCTTCTCTCCTATTACATCCACTATCTTCATTCGTTCTGACACCTGAAACAACAGAAAAATTCAGAAATAAAAGGAAAAGACCTTAACTGAAAGTCACAATAGCTATGCAACACAGAAATGGGATTAGAATAGTATGATTTGAACACCTAACAACAGAATAGTTTTAAAAGCTTTTCCTGATCCCCATGAACAGATTCTCATTCAAGCCACTTTACCTCTAGCGATTTAAGGAGGGGCACAGACTCAATAAATGATTCAAACATCTTCCTCTTTTTTGCATTATTTTTCACTATGATTCTTCTAAAAGTCACCCGGTCCTACAAGAAAGAATATGAAAATTCTAATAAATGCCTATATACAGGAACATCTATGGTTTAATAAACTGGCCAAAGCAAATATTAGAGGAATATGTAAGTTACTGTGTTAATTGTTAATTGATACTTTAATCTTGAGTCATCAATGGAAGAAAAGGACCTGTAGCCTGAGCCAGCCAGTTGCCCACATGCTGTTGTTTGCTATCTAACACTCAATAGGTGCCACCTATGGGTCATAAATAGAACACAAAACAGAAAACGCCTAAACATTTGTGAGCTCACTGTCACTGTTCAATGTCATAAAAGATACCTCTAGTGAGCTGAGATTATGTCACTGCATTCCAGTCTGGGTCACAGAGTGAGACCCTCATTTCAAAAAAAAAAAAAAAGACATCTCACCAAAAGAGAGAATAAAACAATCATTTAATCCTTAGAATCCAGAATTTAAAAAAATTTTTTAAATCCAAAACAATTAGATTGTTCTTGCCCTAAAAAAGTTTATAATCTTAATGGGAAGATAACACAAAATATCAAAATATGAAGCTTGGCTGAATGCAGTAGCTCACTGCCTGTACTCCTAGCATTTTGGGAGGCTAAGGTGGGCAAATGACTTGAGCCCAGGAGTTCGAGACAAGCCTAGGCAACATGGTGAAACACCCGCTCTTCGAAAAAATACACAAAAAAAGTTAGCTGGGCATGGTGGCACATGTCTGTGCTTGGGTGGTTGAGGTGAAAGGCTCACCAGAGCCTGAGAGGTCAAAGCTACAGTGAGTTATTATTGTACCACTGCACTCCAGCCTGGGCAGCAGAGCAAGACTATGTCCCAAAAACAACAATATTAACAACAGCAACAACAAAATACATAGGAATAAAAAGTCTACATTTCAAGAATGGGTGCAGTGGCTCACACCTGTAATCCCAGCATTCTGGGAGGCCATAAATGGATCACTTGAGCTCAGGAGTTCAAGACCAGGCTGGGCAACATGGTGAAACCCCATTTCTACAAAAAATACAAAAATCAGCTGAGCACGGTGGTGTGTGCCTATAGTCCCAGCTAGCTGGGAGGCTGAGGCTTGGAGAATCACTTGAGCCCAGGGGGCTAAGGTTGCGGTGAGCCGAGATTGCACCACTGCACTCCAGCATCGGTGACACAAGTTGAAACCCTGTCTCCAAAAAAAAAAAAAAAAAAAGTCTATAGTTCAAGACAGGCATATGAGCACATGAAATGTGCTTGGTGAAACTACAGAAGACAAGTGTTACATAAATTTCAAGGTAAGAAGGGGAGATCACGGTAGGCAGGAGTGATCAAAGATTATTTTGCAGCAAAAATGTCTGGGACCTGAAAGAGAGGTAGGATTAAAGTTAATGAAGAGACATGGGAGGAATATGCAAGATGGAAGGCAGGCATATGAAAGATACCTTGACTCTTAAGAAGTCATGGATTCCTTTTGTTTTATTTTTCAGATGGGGTCCCCCATTGTTGTCCAGGCTGGCTTTGAACTCCTGGGCTCAAGTGATCTCCCTACCTCAGCCTCCCAAGTAGCTGGGACTACAGGTGCACAACACTGTGCCTGGCTTAGTAAGTAATGGATTCTGATCAGGAGACAGTTAACCAAAGCCAGGCACTTCTCAGATATTTGTACACATGTGTAGGGAGACACACATGAGAATGTTAATTGCTTAGTCTTAGATTCCTAAATGGGCAAGCAGTTATTTGTATCTAAGTTAACTACCTTTCAACTACCTCAGGCTGTCAGGAATAAATATATATATATATACACACACACACACACACACACACACATATATATATATATATTTTTTTTTTTTTTTGCTAGAAAGTATAACAATGGGCTGGGCACAGCGGATCATGCCTGTAATCTCAGAACTTTGGGAGGCCAAAGCGGATGGATCGCTTGAGGTCAGGAGTTCAAGACCAGCCTGGCCAATATGGTGAAACCCCATGTCTACTAAAAATACAAAAATTAGCCAGGCGTGATGATGGGCGCCTGTAATCCCAGCTACTCGGGACACTGAGACAGGAGAATCATTTGAACCCGGGAGGCAGAGGCTGCAGTGAGCCAAGATCATGCCACTGCACTCCAGCCTGGGTAACAAGGCGAGACTCTGCCTCGAAAAAAAAAATAAAAACAAAACAATATTTTAGGCTGTGTGTGGTGGCTCATGCCTGTAATTCCTGCACTTTGGGAGGCCAAGGCAGGAGGATCGCTTGAGGCTAGGAATTCAAGACCAGCCTGGGCAACACAGGGAAACCTAGTTAAAACACAAAAACAGGCCGGGCGCGGTGGCTCATACCTGTAATTCCAGCTCTTTGGGAGGCTGAGGCGGGTGGATCACGAGGTCAGGAGATTGAGACCATCCTGGCTAACATGATGAAACCCTGCTTCTGCTTAAAATACGAAAAACTAGCTGGGCATGGCGGCAGGCACCTGTAGTCCCAGCTACTAGGGAGGCTGAGGCAGGAGAATCGCTTGAACCTGCGAGGCGGAGCTTGTAGTGAGCCAAGATCACAGCACTGCACTCTAGTCTGGGAGACAGAGCGAGACTCGGACTAAAAAAACAAACAAACAAAACCCCACAAAAACAGAAAACCCCAATATTTTATTTATTTATTAAAACAAACAAACAAACAAACAAACAAAAACATACAGGCTGGGAACAGTGGCTCACGACTGTATTCCCAGCACTTTGGGAGGCCGAGGTGGCTGGACTGTTTGAGCCCAGAAGTTTGAGAACAGCCTGGGCAACATGGCGAAACCTGTCTGCACAAAAAATACAAAAATTAGCCAGGCATGGTGGCGTCCACTTGTGGTCCCAGTTACTGGGAGGCAGAGGTGGGAGGATCACTTGAGCCCTGGGAGGCGAAGTTGTAGTGAGGTGTGAGGGCACCACTGCACTCCAGCCTGACCAACAGAGTGAGACTGTCTCAAAAGATAGATAGACAGACAGATAGATAGATAGACACACACACACACACTCCCCCCCACACACAGATAAAACAAAAGGCCTGGCGCAGTGGCTCACACCTATAATCCCAGCAATTTGTGAGGCCAAAGTGGGTGGATCACTTGAGGTCAGGAGTTCGAGACCAGCCTGGCCAACATGGTGAAACCTTGTGTCTATTAAAAATACAAATATTAGCCAGGCATGGTGGTGCACACCTATAGTCCCAGCTACTCGGGAGGCTGAGGCACGAGAATTACTTGAACCCTGGAGGCAGAGGATGCAGTGAGCTGAGATCACACCACTGTATTCCAGCCTGGGTGACAAAGACTCTGTCTCAAAATAAATAAATAAATAAAAATTAAAAAATAAACACACAGAGGGCAGCAAAGTTAACTCCCAATATTTTATAAATCTACCTATATGTTACAAAGATTAGTATAACTGCAATAGCAAACAATATTTCGGCCAGGCACGGTGGCTCACGCCTGTAATCCCAGCACTTTGGGAGGCTGAGGTGGGTGGATCACTTGAAGTCAGGAGTTCAAAACCATCCTGGCCAACACAGTGAATTCCCATCTCTACCAAAAATATAAAAAATTAGCCAGTATTGTTGGCACATGCCTATAATCCCAGCTATGCGGGAGGCTGAGGCAGGAGAATCGCTTGAACCCGGGAGGCGGAGGTTGCAGTGAGCCGAGATCATGCCACTGTAGACTCCAGCCTGGGCGACAGAGCAAGAGTCCATCTCAAAAACAACAACAACAACAAAGTTCTAACTAAAGAGAAAACAACAAATATCTCTTAAAGCGACTTTTTTTTTTTGAGATGGAGTTTCATTCTTGTTGCCCAGGTTGGAGTGCAATGGTGCAATCTTGGCTCACCGCAACCTCCGCCTCCCAGGTTCAAGAGATTCTCCTGCCTCGGCCTCTGGAGTAGCTGGGATTACAGGCATCGCCACCATGCCCAGCTACTTTTGTATTTTTTAATAGAGACAGGGTTTCTCCATGTTTGTCAGGCTGGTCTCGAACTCCCGACCTCAGGTGATCCACCCGCCTTGGCCTTCAAAGTGCTGGGATTACAGGCATGAACCACTACACTCGGCAAGTGACTTTTTTTTTTTGAGACAGAGTCTCACACTGTCACTCCGCAGGCTGGAGTGCAGTGGCATGATCACAGCTCACTGTAGCCTTGACCTCTTGGGCTCAGGTGATCCTCCCACCTCAACGTCCCAAATAGCTGGGACTACAGGCATGTGCCGCCACATCAGCTAATTTCCTATTTTTCGTAGAGACAGGGTTTCACCATGTTGCCCACGCTGGTCTTGAATTCCTAGGCTCATGTGATTTGCCCACCGTGGCCTCCCAAATTACTGAGATTACAGGCATGAGTCACCACACTCAGCTGGTTCTAACTCTTTTTATGCATGCTTTAACACTTCCCAAAACTCTCTTTTCATGTGGTGCAAATTCAGTTCCTATGGCTGTGGAGAATATAAAAAAGCACCAGACATCAACATAGCCTTTGAGAAGCATCCAACCGAGCACTGAAGAGGAAATTCCCACAGGCAGCAAGTGCTCAGAGGCAAGCAAACAGCCCTGAAGTTCAAAAGAGAAAAGGAGTGCTACTCTCTCCAGTGACTGCAGGAATTTCCCAGGAAACCTTCTACTGACTTTCAATAAAGTAAGAGAAAGCAGAAGAGACTAAGTACAGGGGCCATGATGGCAGCTGCCCACTATAAAAGCAGGAATGTAGGATCCAACTTGGAAAACTCAGTGACGACACCAGATCCTCCCTACTTCCACCTCAGAAGGCATTTCCAAGGCCTTGTGAGGTTGAAAGAAGAAGTCAGGCTGGAGAGGACCTTCTGTGAGTTACTTTCCTAGAGGTGGTATTGAAGCTTTGAAAAAGTCTAGGCTTGCAAAGCAAGTGAATGAACAGGAGAAAAGTAGAGTCCAAAAGAACATCTTGATAGGTCACTGACCTATCAAGAAAGCAAGGAGAGGAGGAATGACTGCCAAAGGCAAGGAAATAGAAAGAACAGGAGTCTTAGGAAAGGAAGTCTCAGGAAAAGAGGGGTGGTGAGTGGCACCATGGCGATAGGGAGCTTGTGCCATCATTCTGTGAATACCCACCTTGTACCAGGCACTAAGGGAGTCGCTTCTCTTATGCCCATGTATTTAATCCTCACACCCCAGTCACAATGCAGGTGGTTTTACAGCTCAATATAGTTTTCAATTTTCACTGAGACTTTCTCTTAGAGATTATCCAAGAATGGGTTATTTGGCTGGGTGCTGTGGCTCTTGCCTGTAATCCCAGCATTTTGGGAGGCCGAGGTGAGCATATCACCTGAGGTCAGGAGTTCGAGACCAGTCTGGCCAACAAGGTGAAACTCCATTCCTACAAAAAATACAAAATTTGGTTTTTGGCCCAGAGCAAGACAGCCGAATAGGAGCAGCTCCAGCCTCCAGTTCCCAGCATGAGAGACACAGAGGACGGGTGATTTCTGCATTTTCAACTGTGGTACCGGGTTCATCTCACTGGGGAGTGCTGGACAATCGGTGCTAGTCAGCTGGTGGAGCCCGACCATTGAGAGGTGAAGCAGGGTGAGCCACTGCCTCACCTGGGAAGCGCAAGGGGGAAGGGAATCCCTTTTCCTAGCCAAGGGAAACTGAGACACACAACACCTGGAAAATCGGGTAACTCCCACCCTAATACTGTGCTTTACCAAGGGTCTCAGCAAACGGCACACCAGGAGATTATATCCCACACCTAGATGGGAGGGTCCCACGCCCACAGAGCCTCCCCCGTTGCTAGCACAGCAGTCTGAGATCTAACCGCAAGGCAGCAGCGTGGCTGGGGGAGGGGCGCCCACCACTGCTGAGGCTAAAGTAGGTAAACAAAGCCTCCGGGAAGCTCGAACTGGGTGGAGCCCACCACAGCTCAAGGGGGCCTGCCTGTCTCTGTAGACTCCATCTCTGGGGACAGGGCATAGCTAAACAAAAAGCAGCAGAAACTCAGGCCAGAGGTAAATTGCACCCTGTCTGACAGCTTTGAAGACAGCAGTGGATCTCCAGCACGGAGGGTGAGATCTGAGAATACGGACAGTCTGCCTGCTCAAGTGGGGTCCCTTGACCGCTGAGTAGCCCTAACTTGGGAGACATCCCCCACTTACGGGGTTGCCAGACTGACACTCACACCTCACATGGCCGGGCGTACACGCCCTGAGGACGAATTTCTTCAGAGCTGAAGAATCAGACAGCAAAACACTTGTGTTCAGCAATATCTTTTCTGCAGCCCTCTGCTGCTTGATACCCAGGCAAACAGCGGGTCTGGAGTTCGGACCTCAAGCCATTCTCCAACAGAGGTGGGCCTACAGCTGGAGGTCCTGAACTGTTAGAAGGAAAGAAACTAAGCAAAACAGAAAGGACACCACACCCAAAACCCCATCCCAGTTCATTCACAGTCGTCAAGCAAAGGCAGATAAACCACAAAGATGGGAAAAAAGCAGGTCAGAAAGGCTGGAAATTCAAAAAATCAGGGAGGCATCTTCCCCTTCCAAAGGAACGCAGACTCATGCCAGCAACCCGGATCAAACTGGGAGGTGGAGAATGAACTTGATGAGTTGAGAGTAAGAAGGCTTCAGTCAATCCAAACTTCTCAAGAGCTAAAGGGAGAGGAACTGCGTAAACCAGCGCAAAGAACTAAAAATCTTGAAAAAAAGAATGGAAGAATGGATAACTAGAATAATCAATGGCAGAGAAGGCCATAACGACTGACAGAGATAAAAAACCATGACATCGAGGAAATTTACGTTGACAAATGCACAAGGCTTCCAGTAACCGACTCGATCAAACGGAAAAGAAAGAGGTTATCAATGATTGAAGATTAAATGAAATGAAAACAAGCGAGAAGGAGAAGTCTAGAGAAAAAAGAGGAAAAAGAAATTGAACCAAAGCCTCCAGAAAATAGGGGATTATGTGCAAAAGCCAAAATCTGACATCTTATTGTGTGCCTGGAAAGTGAGGGGGAAAATGGAACCCATTGGAAAACTACTCTCAGGATATTATCCAGTAGAACTTTCCCCAACCTAGTAAGTGCCAGGCGCCAACATTCAAATTCCCAGGAAATCAGAGAACGCCACAAAGAGATACTCCTCCGAGAAGAAGCAACTACCAAAACACATAATTGTCAGATAGACCCAAAGGGTTGAAATGAAGGAAAAAAATGTTATGGGCAGGCAGAGAGAAAGGTAGGTTTACCCACAAAGGGAAGCCCATTCAGACTAACAGGCAGATCATCTCGGCAGAAACTCTCCAAGGCAGAAAGAAAGAGAGTGGGCCAACTATTCAAAACATTCTTTAAAGAATTTTTCAGCCGGGGCGCGGGTGGCTTTTCAAAGCCATTAATCCCAGCACTTTTGGCGAGGCCAGACAGGGTGGGGATCACTGGAGGTCAGGAGATCGAGGGGGGGGACCATTCCCCTGGCTAACACCGGGTGGAAAACCCCGGTCTTCTACTAAAAAATTACAAAGAAACTAGCATTTTTCAACCCATTTGCTGGGAAAACAGCGTATGGTTGATTCCTCCCAAGGATCAGAACTAGGAAATTACCATTATTTGGACCCCAGCCATCGCATATACCTGGCGGTATATTACCCAAAGGTATTAAATTCATTGGCTTTGCTCTAAAGGGGAGCATGCACAGTTGTGTTTAACTGGCGGGACTATTCGACAAGTAAGGCCAAGATTGGAATCAACCCAAATGTCCATCAGTGACAGACTGGATTAAGAAAATGTGGCACATATACACCATGGAATACTATGCAGCCATAAAAAAAGGATGAGTTCGTGTCCTTTGTAGGGACATGGGTGCAGCTGGAAACCATCATTCTCAGCAAACTTTCGCAAGAACAGAAAACCAAACACCGCATATTCTCACTCATAGGTGGGAATTGAACAATGAGATCACTTGGACAAAGTGCTGGGGTTACAGGAGTGAGCCACCACGCCCGGCCAATCTTTTACATTTTTAAAGTTTTATTTTATATTCCAAGATATGCCCTATTTGGGTGAATAGACTTGAAAAAAATGTTCATTCTGTTGTTGCTGTGTGCAGTGTTCTATAAATGTCACATAGCTTTTGTTAATTAATGGTGTTAAGTTCTTCTATATTCTAGCTGACACCAGCTGATTCTCTGTTCTTTTTTTTTTTCATTTTGTTTTTGCTTTTGAGATGGAGTTTTGCTCTTGTTGAATGTACCTGTTGGCAGATCTGGATTTCAGGCTTTTCCAGCACCCCATCTGGGATATATGGGAACCCAGGAACTCACTGTCATGTCTTTCCTCAAGCCCCAATATCCCTAGATAGTCTGCCTTCTTTCCACCTTTCAGGGTCTTCCTGTGTTTGCTATATTATGTCCAGAGTGGTGTGTGTGTGTGTGTGTGTGTGTGTTTTGTGTTTTTTTTTTTTTTTTTTTTTGAGATAGAGTCCGGCTCTGTCGCCCAGGCTGGAGTGCAGTGGCCGGATCTCAGCTCACTGCAAGCTCCGCCTCCCGGGTTCACGCCATTCTTCTGCCTCAGCCTCCCGAGTAGCTGGGACTACAGGTGCCACCACCACGCCCGGCTAATTTTTTGTATTTTTTTTTTTAGTAGAGACGGGGTTTCACCGTGTTGGCCAGGATGGTCTTGATCTGCTGACCTCGTGATCCACCTGTCTCGGCCTCCCAAAGTGCTGGGATTACAGGCGTGAGCCACCGTACCCGGCCCGTGTGTGTTTTTAAGTGAGAACACTAGCATGCTATAGGGCTATTCCATCTTGGTCTGAACCAGTAGTTGGCACCAAGGCTTATTATTTTGTTTTATGTTTTTTGAGATGGAGTCTTGCTCAGTCGCCCAGGCTAGAGTGCAGTGGCGTGATCTTGCCTCACTGCAACCTCCGCCTCCTGGGACTACAGGCACCCATCACCATGACTGCCTAATTTTCATATTTTTAGTAGAGACAGGGTTTCACCATGTTGCTCAGGCTGGTCTCGAACTCCTGACCTCAAGTGATCTTCCTGCCTTGGCTTCCCCAAGTGCTGGGATTACAGGTGTGAGTCACCACACCTGGCCCCCCATTACTTATTATTCCCCTATACAAATCTATTCTCAAGTTTTTCAATCATTGAGTCCCAAGTGCGTGACCTATCCTTAAGTCACTATCTCTTTCAGGAGCACTCTTAATTTAACATCAGGATGTCACAATAAAGTGCTCTTTTTTTTTTTTTTTGGAGATGGAGTCTTGCTCTGTTGCCAGGCTGGAGTGCAGTGGTGTGATCTCGGCTCACTGCAAGCTCGGCCTCCTGGGTTCACGCCATTCTCCTGACTCAGCCTCCCGACTAGCTGGGACTACAGGCACCTGCCACCACGCCCGGCTAATTTTTTTGTATTTTTAGTAGAGATGGGGGTTTCACCATGTTAGCCAGGATATCTCCTGACCTCATGATCTGCCTACCTCAGCCTCCCAAAGTGCTGGGATTACAGGCGTGAGCCACTGCCCAGCCCTAAAGTGCTCTTTCACGTCTTTAAAATGTGATTTCATTTGAGAAAATATGTTCATAATTTTATAATATCCATGTCTTTCAGATAACTGGCTGTAAGATATAGTGTAAATCAACAGCCCGAGGACAGAGACACAGAAAAGGAATTAATACTGTGCCTTGCAAGGGGAACAATTTCTCTCACTCACCAGTCCCCAGAGGGAGCCTTCTGAGGTAGCAACAATGGTAGCAGCTCTCGGGGTGTTGTACATCAGAGCTAGTTCTCCGAAACTGCCACGGTTGTCATATTGACCAACAGAGCGGGTTTGATTATCTTTTGTTACTAAAATGTCATAAGTTCCCCTAGAAGAATGACAAAAAATAATTTCATTAGTTACTTCTGATAATAAATGCTAAGAACTGGCAGGTACATATAAAAGAAAATGTTGTTTTAAGATATTTCCAAAGGAACTTTGCTAATATATAAAAAACAACATATTTTTGTATTTTGACTTTGTACTGTGTCCTATAACCTTGCTAAACTCATTTATTAATTCTAGTAGCCTTTCTGTGGCATTCGTGGAATTTTCTTTTTTTTCTTTTTGAGACGGAGTCTCGCTCTGTCACCCAGGCTGGAGTGCAGCGGAGGGATCTTGGCTCACTGTAAGCTCCAACTCCCGGGTTCATGCCATTCTCATTCTCCTGCCTCAGCCTCCCGAGTAGCTGGGACTACAGGCACCCGCCCCCACGCCTGGCTAATTTTTTTGGTATTTTTAGTAGAGACAGGATTTCACCGTGTTAGCCAGGATGGTCTCGATCTCCTGACCTCGTGATCCATCTGCCTCGGCCTCCCAAAGTGTTGGGATTAAAGGCATGAACCACCATGCCCAGCCTAATCTTTTTTCTTTTAATAATATATATTTGGTATTTTTAGTAGAGACAGGATTTCACCGTGTTAGCCAGGATGGCTCGATCTCCTGACCTCGTGATCCATCTGCCTCGGCTCCCCAAAGTGTTGGGATTAAAGGCATGAACACCCAATGCCCAGCCCTTAATCTTTTTCTTTTAAAATATATAATATTGGCCCGGGGCGCGGTGGCCTCAAGCCTGTAATCCCAGCACTTTGGGAGGCGAGACAGGTGGATCACGAGGTCAGGAGATCGAGAACCATCCTGGTGAACACAGTGAAACCCGTCTCTACTAAAACTACAAAAAAACTGAGCCGGACGAGGTGGCGCGGTGCCTGTAGTCCCAGCACTCTCGCGAGGCCTGAGGCAGGAGAATGGCGTGAACCCGGGAGGCGGAGCTTGCAGTAAGCTGAGATCCGGCCACTGCACTCCCAGCCTGGGCGAAAGAGCGAGACCGTCCCTCAAA